CCAAGGATTTCTGTAATGATGCCATGCGGCCTAGAGCTCGAATTGCATTGCCAGTTTTCTGCAAGGATAAAACACACACCAAGCGGTCACCCCATGCAGGGAAAGGAGAAAGCAAATGGGAATGTTTAGAAAACAGAACAAGGGGAGGATAAACCTCATCAAGTCATACCAAGGTATTTGTAAACCTAGACAGGTACTTATCACTCAGAGGGTATCATAAGAAACTTCACATGTGAGGGCAACTTGGATTGGAACAAGGGTAGATTTCACTTTAGTTCATTACCTTTTTTGCCATTCAAAAACGGAAAATCATTACTAGGTACTATTACAGGTTATTTTTCACTCTGGTCCAGATAAAATGACATGATATTTGACACACAAGCCTTTAAGAAATGGGGAATCCAATGGCAATTTGTGGAAATTATTATCTGTAAGTATGGGATTTATGCTTAAACAGGAAAGAAAAAGTGCTTGCAATGCAGATGGTCTATTAAGAAAAATGGGATCAACATGCTTTAAAGGATTTATTTCTAAATTTACAGCTTCAAAAGTCGAACTTTCAGGACAGATCTACTGCAATTCTAAGCTGTTCTTAGTTTCTTTTTGTATAGCACTACAGAACTTTAAAGCTTTCACACATGCTAAAATAACTCTCAGACAATGTACTTGATATTTTAGATAAAAATTATCTACTTTAAAGTCTTATGAAACTAGCAAAGAATACTGTCTTTCATATTGCTCTATATTCAACAATCTTATCATATCATTCTACATTATGTATTGTTCTATTCTTAGTGTACTTAAAGATGGAATATTCACAAATACAACTGACTCTTACCTGCCACTTTCTTCTGGCCAAGAAGCGTTTGAGTTTTTCTTTCTTTAATTTCTTGGTTCTCATAGATTTTAAATCCTGAGCTAACCATGGATGGTCAATACACTGGTGAACTGACATTCGTTTTCTAAAACCAAACATACATGTGTGTTACTTATTAAAAAAAGAGATAAAATGAATTGTTAATTAAAAGTGACCAAATTTTATGTCCAGAATATAATACTGCATTACCCATATATGAGTCTGATGAGTCTTGTGAATAAGAAAGATGGCTAAGAAAAGTTGACAGATTCTAAAATATGTAGGTGTAATGTACTAGTTTTCCACTCACTCTGGTCTCTTGAGCAATAGTTTTGTAATGAATTCTTTGGCATTATCGGAAATTTCATCAAAGGAGTCATCGTCAAAGTCCCACTCTGCCCTGGTGACACTGGCCAGAGTCTCGGCATCATTGTCACCCATGAAGGGAGACAAGCCAGATAACCTGGAATATTGAGAGAAAGATTTATAGTCAATTGTTAATTCCAACATTTGTATTATTCTCCTTGTCAATTGAGTACATCAGTTTCACTGTACTTCACCCTTTAAAACTTTTCCATCTACTAATATATCATAAAAAGCAAAAGGGGAATGGAAAATACTGTGGAATAACTCATTAACTAAATGAATGATCAGTTACAACTCTACACTCACAGGATCTTTATATATTGTGACATTTTTAAAAATCAAAACTAAAAAGACAGGAAACACCAGGAGGTACTTACAAAATGTAACAGATAACTCCCACGCTCCACATGTCCGTGGCAGGTGTCACATGATCATAGCTGATCACTTCTGGTGCAATGAATTCTGGGGTCCCAAACAGCACCTTGAAGCACTCATTCTGATCATAGGGCCTAGCCAGGCCAAAGTCAATAATCTTGATCTGGTTGCTGTGTTTGTGAATACAGAGGATGTTCTCTGGTTTTAGATCCAGATGGAGTATGTTTTGTTCATGCATGTGACGTACGCCATCACAAATCTGACGCATGAAGTGGATACAGTCTTTCTCTGTGAGTTCAAAGTCATCATCAATGATCCTTTCAAACAACTCTCCTCCTCCAATGCTGTAAATGATGATATGTTGAGAAAATTAAATATGTGGCAAAGTAAAATGTTGTAATCACAAGACATGAGTATGGGATAACAAAATATAGGTGATTTCAAACACTGATGAAATCAATACTTACAACAATGTTGCCAAAACCATCTAAAAAGATGACTTAAATGAGAAAAATAGCTACACTGCTGTCCTTATATCTTCAAGTTTATAGTTCCAAGAAAATCAACTGCATGACATATAATTAAATCAGAAAGGAGAACTTACTATTCCATAACCATGATCATTCTCCTGGCTTCTTCATAAGCATCCCAAAGCATGAGAAGTTTGTTGTGTTTCAGTCTGTTCATGATGTTCACCTCCTGTTTGATGTTTTCCTTCTCACTTGGGCGACACTTGATGAATTTAGCAGCAAATTCGCGTCCACTGCTCTTCTCTATCACACGGTGGACATTGCCAAATCTGCCTCTGTTGAAATGATGCATTAGATGTATTATAAAATATCAATGTGTAATACAAATGAATAAGATTCTATCACCTTAAATTTTTATGAATACCCTTCCCTGTTAATCTCAGATATTTATGGAGAATACATGAGTATCATTACTGCATGTTAAATCCAGTGGATTGGCAAACAGTCCATGAAATTACTTTGGAACACAGTCCATTTATTAAAATATCTCAGTTACTATTTAGGAAATTGCAGTACAAATTGTTTGAGCTAACTTACTTTCCAAGCTCCTCAAGTGTTTCGTAGCTGTCAGAGAACTTCCGACTGGCATCAATCACAACCTCCCTTGGTTCAAATGGAAGTTCATCTAAAATATCAACAACAAAAGCTTTAAAACTCAACATTTTGTATTTGATTTTCATTTACTCAAATTTAGTGTAAAAGTAGGCACTCAACACATGAAGAGATTAAATCACTCTACAACTTCCAAAACAGTTGACAAAATACAGCAAGAAAGTGCAATACTACACATCAAAAGTGACGTAATTAAAAAACAACTTTAAGAAAATGTTCACCACTTCTTATTAGAATCACATACATGTTTTCAATGTTTATCTCATAATTTATAGGCAGTATTTTTGCATGACTTATCGTGTTATCTACAAATGATTGTATATTGGTAAAACATAGTACATAGCACATTTATATAGCTACTAAATGCACACTCAAGGGGCAGACTAAGTTAACACATGCACACCACACAAGTTTTTGGTTAAATAAATTAGCAATACAAAACACTACATGCATCTAAAATGTGAACCAGTAGCAGTACAGGAATGTGTTTTTTGATAAACTAAAAATCCTTTGTATTGTTTTCAAAAGATTTTCATTTATAACTCAGGAGGTATATGTATTAGCAAAACAGTGCCAATTTTTCAATTTTAGTAATAGTAATATGGAACTGACCATTCAACTAGCACTTTTATCTCAAATGGGATTTGTAATACAATAAATAAATAAATAAATAAATAAATAAATAAATAAATAAATAAATAAATAAGTAGACAGCTAAAATCCCTGTACATGACATTAACTGGGCCCCATCTTTATGCCAAGCACACCAGTTAGCAGTTTACCTGACAGGGACATGGATCTGCCTAGGGTGGAGAAGGAAGAGAAAAGACCTGCAAGCAAAACCAAGCAAAATGCCCAAGCATTATACACAGTATCTGTACTGCATGGAATTGGCATCAGGAATGCAAATTTTAAAAACAACATCCGGAATTTCAGGGTGTACTGAAAATTAACATCTGTCACCAGCATGGCTGTAACACAGAGTGTTTGCTGGGTGGATGCAAGTTACTCTCAGTATCCTGAAGTTCAGGGTGTGAAATATTGCATAACTATACTGTTATACATTGTATTGTTAGGTTAGTAAAACTAATTTTAGGGGTAATGTGATGTTCTAAATTGGGTGGGAGAACCTGAACTTGACTTGAAAAAAAGGTCTTGATCTCTGGAACAAATACATGCTGTTATACAAAATAAAATTGTAGAAAAAATGTAGGAATTTCTACAGGAACTAAACTATTTTAGGGTTAAAGCAGCAACTTGTTAGCAGCAAGCATTTACTCTAAAACTGTATAACAAGCACATACAGCAGCTGTCATACAGTATAATGCTAATAATTATGTAATTATATTTATAGTACGTACAGATCTGCAGCACTCCTACCTTCAGATTCATATTCAGTAAAATCCGATATACAAGAAAAGTCTGAGAAGCAAGAGAAGTCTGACATGACAGACGCTCGCCTCTCAAAGGTGACAATGATGTCGGAGGCCTGACTGGGTTCACTGAGTCCATGCTTGTTTTCTGCAGACACACGGAATAGGTATTCAGTCTCGGGTACTAGGTCAGTCACACGGTAGCATGTGCTCTGTGGGAGGACAAATGGGTTGGATAATTGAAATAAGTTAATAAGGTTTTTTGTGTTGTATTTTGTGGGTTACTTTCAACTTAAAAGTGACTATTGTCAAAATTTTGATTATTTCAAGCATAAATTAAAACATCTTAGCTTCAAACTTTTTTGTAAATGATTTTATTTCAATTAGAAAAAAAGAAGTTGTTTTTTCACTAAACTTAAGTTATGTAGCAGCATAACTGCTGAAGAATGGTGTTTAGAACACTATGTCCTATACCTCACACTTGGCAGTCAGCACCTTCCAGCGCCTGTCCTTTGCTTTGCACATTTCTATCTTATAATTGGCCACAATACTTCCTCCATCAAAGGGAGGACCTGACCAGGAGAGAGTTAACTCTGTGCGGAAAATATCAGAAGCTACTGGCTGTCCTGGGGGGTCGGGGACATCTGGGGAAACAATCAAATTCTAATCATGTCTTCTTAAATTTTTTCCCAACAGAAGAAATTTTCAAGATCTGCATAAATTTGTTAAGAATTTTTATTTTTATGTACTTTGCATTTCAGATACTGATAATTAATTTTCTTAAATAACTCTCAAAATTTTTTCTTTTATTAATTTCTGATTTATCTCTTTTTTTTTCTTTTTTTTTTTTTTTTTTTTTTTTTTTTTTTTTTTTTTTACTTTTTCAGGTATTTGGTTATTTATACAGATATTTCCTATTTGTCACTATTTCATGTTTCTTGGTGTATTAAATTCAAAATTTTAATAGCTGCATGGTTTCAATTCAGCTTGAGAGTGGTTAACTTAACTGTTTTTGAACTACAAATTGAATTTTTTACAACTTTTTGATTTCATCTAGCATCTACGTGTTTGTAATTTCTGAGCACAACATGCAAAAAAAGTTGAATCAGTAGATTTCATGCTGATTTCAAAGGGAAAACAACAATAATGGCAATCTGAATACAAACCATGCAAAAATTCTCAACAAATTTAAATCTAGCAAAAATTATGCTTCATCAGTTTTATACAACATCTGCAGCTTTTGGTAATTTTTTTTTTGAAAATGGAGATGCTTTCAGGCCACATACCTTCAACAGTGACTGATGCCGTGGCTTGTGCGTCACCATCTTTGTTTGCCACAACGAGGCGGTACTTCCCACTGTCTTCTGAGGTAGAGTCTGTCACTATCAGGGCAGTGCTGTCCTCTTTCACATCAATACGTACTCTTCCTCCTGAAATGGTCATAAAAAGTCAGTGCATAACAGCTGAATACTTCTCAAAGCTGCTAACTCCACTATCAATAATTATATTCAATCATTTTGCACACATAGACAAAATAAAATGAGAAAGTTAAAAAGTACTATTGTAACTTATCTGTCAATAAGGATAGATTTTTAAACTGGGATTGTATCACATTGTGCAGTCAATACACAAACACACAAAAAAACAACTTTCTAACATAATCCATTAAAAACTTTAAAACTTGAAATTTCATCAGTTACAGCATAAGTAGAATGAGACATTTCAGCCAGCTTAGTTCCAAGCATAAAATCATCACCTGTTTTCAGTTCCTCCTTGCCCTTGTACCAGGAAATCTGGGGGGACAAAAGTGAAGAGATTTTGGCCCTCAGCTGGAACTTCCTTCCCCTCTTAACAGATACATTTAGTGGTGGTTCTAGAATCTTGGGGGCACTTGCAACTGTGGGACCCTTGTCCAGTTTTCCACTGTCTGAAATTTTAAACATTATATTTTCATTTATGCAATATTCTAATAAGAACTGCACGAAAACACACAAGATACATTTCAAACAGTTCAACTAAAATCAATACATTAGTAACCACAAATGCAGATTCAGATCAATAATACACAAGGTCTTGCTCTATTTAACAAATCAATATGTATAATTGCAATTGGTAACATATCCATCGCATATATGTATAATACTGAATGATCTTTTATCACCCTGAGATCTTACCTTCAACAAAGAGTTCACATTTGCAATTGGCACTTCCTAGACTGTTGTTGGCTGTGCACATATATAACCCTTCATCCTCAGGGTATGCTTCCAGTATCACCAGCCTGGCAATGTTGTCTTTAAAAGAGGTCTGAAAGTACTTGGACTCCTGAAATAACAAGATTGTATCATCTTAAACAATTAGTTATGTCATTATATATTCTTTATTGTTATCAATATTTTGAATGTCCTGTGTGCATTTTCATAGTTTAACATTACTTCGCAACTACTAAACATAAAATTCAACTTATCAAGTTTAAGTAGCATGGAATGTTAATAAAATACAGTTATATATAATACTTTAATTAAAAAAACTTTATTTACAAATTGATCCAAAATACCTTGATTTCTTTTCTGTCAACACTCCATGTTATGACAGGTTCAGGATAAGCAGACACTGTACACTCTAAAACTGCTGTGTCACCCTCGGCCACTCTCTTGTCCTGGAGGGTGGAAATAAACTCTGGTACTCTCTTTCCAGCTCTCCTTGCAGCACGGACTGATTCCCCATCTTTATCTGAGTCTGTACTAGACTGGTCTCCAATAGTACTGAGATGTGGTCGTGACTTGATAAGAGAATTATAGTCAGTGTGTTCGACATCATGCAGTGGCTCCACCTCCAGGTTAACTGTGTAACTAGTGTCACCTTCACTGTTTTCTAACACAATTGTGTAACTGCCTGCATCAGTAGCCAAGGTATGTGGGATGTCAAATATAAGCATATCACCTTTCTTTGACACCTGAAAAAAGACAGTTATGTTTTACTGATTATTTATTTATATCCTGCTGACCAAGTTTTAATGACTTTAATGGTGAGAACAGAAATGTTGCAATAAATAAACATATATGGAAATATTTTGAACATGAACCATCTGTAATTTCCCCCCCATGCCTTATTAGTGAAGAGGTTTAAATTAAAAAAAAAACAAAACATTTTTTATGTTTAAACCCCACTTAATCTAGTGAACCATCACGTACAGTAATAAATGAGGAATACCATCATTTCCAATTAAGTCTATCCACACTCAATTCTGGGATCTTAATTTTGTAAAAAAGGTGACTTTACAGTTTTGCAATATTGTACCTTAAATCTCCCTCCACTTTCAATAATCTTTCCATCTTTTTTCCACTGTACATTAGGTATGGGTACACCTGTGACTCGGCACCTGAAAGTGGCACCAGTACCCTCTTCCACACACTGAGATTTGGGAACCTCCAGGAAATCTGGTGGGAATGGTTCTCCAGGTTCTGAAACAATCACACAAACACCAGATTAGCTCCATTAAAACAACACCTTGCCCTTTGACCCCACAGCAGTAAGCAGCTGGTGGAAATGTCTACATGTAGGCAGACAGAAATTGTAGCAGAATTTTTGAAATGCCAGCAAAAATTTAGCTTATAAATGTAAGATGAAGAAAAATATTAGAAATAGGAAAAAAGCTAGCATGTGAACTACAAAGTTGGTTGCCTGAAACAAACTGACAAACAGCCAGGTTAACAAACAAATCAATGTCCGTCTGCCACCACCTTGGTTAGATATGCTGGAAGCATAAATAAATGGTTTTAGTAAATCTAATATGTCACAGACTCACAACTGCCAGAATTTTTTGAAATACACCAAGTAACACATTTTTTCTTGACATTGTAAAAATGGACTAACTTTTGGCAGGATTTGTTAAACAATTTTAAGAAGTATGAAAGCAATCTTCCATTTTGAATTCAGCAGCTTCAAATAATATTCCATAGCTTGTTTCTTTTTGTGGGTCTGTGAAATATTCTAAGAGAAATCTGGAAGAGATCAAATTGTTAGTAAAGGATAAGAACTAGACAAGATAGAACAAAGTAGCAACAGAATATGTTGCAGTATATATATGTATGGTGTCACCCCTCCACCGTCAAAACTGCGCCAGAAATAATCCTGTACCTTCTTTACCTTCAAAAACGTCATCTTCTAATTCAAACTCGCTAGTGAACACTTTAGATTTGGCATCACCTGACTTAGGCTTCAACTTAGATTTGTGTTTTCTATTTCTATGAGATCCTAAATACAAAGAAAACAGAAAGTGTGCTGCTTTTAACATAAATGGAGAAGAGAAAGAACATATGCTTCTAATCTACAACAGAATTAAAGCAAGAGAATCAATAGTGTAAAAGTTAGACATTGGCATGGTTAAAGTTGTTATCATACAATTTCAAATTAATTTTTCAACAATCACAAAAAATAAATGCTACTCATTTGCACATTTAAGCAATGTAGAACACCATATCATGCAGTAAACCAATTGTCATCAACATATTTCCAATATTTTTACATGTCAGTATCACACAGAAATCATAAGGTTGAACAATTTTCTTAGTCATTACTTGTTCTCACAAAAATGTCAAACAATTTACCTGTGACTGTGAGATTACATGCAGAATTAGCATCCCCTGCAGCATTGTAAGCCTCACAGACATACTCCCCTCCATCATCAGGGAATATGTCAGAAATCACCAATTTGTGCTCATCCCCTTCTGATAGAACCTTAAAATCTTTATCTTCGGGGGAGATCTCTTTGCCATTATGGACCCACACTATGTCTATGGGTTCAGTGCCTGCAAAATTGGACATGCACTACATGCTCAAATGTCAAACCATGCAGGGAGCATGGCAATGCATTCTGGGTAAGTCCAGCAACCACTGTTTTCTATGTATTTTGACAATTTACTGCATTAGTTTTCACAATTTTAAATTAATTTTTATGACAACTCTCTGGAGCCCTTAGGAACAAAGTCTTGACAATTTCTTTAAAAATTATTGTTTTACAAAGAACAACAAGGTGCAGTGTGTTTCTTTAAAATAAACTCATTCAGAAAAACTGGTTGCTTTCATTCCCAATTTATAGAAAAAACTTTTAAAAATACAAAACAAGTATTTCCAATCCAGCATCCACAAAATGCCAAAACATTACATTTACAACTGCTTCAATACAGCCTAAATCTTTCACCTTAAGAACTTCAACCCCAATGTGATAAATACCAAAAACTCATGCAAAAAACCCATTTCTTACAAGCACAGGAATGAATCCCATGGATGATTGATTGGAGGCAGGGAGAGGGATGGAGGAGGGAAGTTCTCCTTTATACCTATGGTGTCATAACATGTAAACATCATGTTGGGAACAATTCCAATATTTTTCCAAGGTCTATGAGGTAAAAACATCAATCTGAATCTTATCAATCAGGGTTCAAACCAAATTCCTTGGGTGTACAACAAGGTAGGATGTCCTGTGATGTGAAATTGAAATTCAGAAAGTTTGGATAGGGCCTACATCATCAAAATATATGGGAATGGGGGCATTCTTAACACAGTATGGCAACTTTGTGAACATATAAAAGGGGGTCATTCTTAATATCATGAGGTGATTTTGTGAACAGGGGCTTCCAATGACTAAATTCTACATGGTCAAATGCTCAAGGGGAATTTGTTTTGAAATGCCAAAATGTCTAATTGGTACTGTCATTGTCAACAACTAATTGGAAGTCATCGTTGTAAAGGGTGGGGCTTCCAAAATTGTAGGTGGTTCTACTTGGTGTTGATTGACATGACCCACCTGTCACTCTTACAACTAATTCCACTCTATCACCATCATTTGCTGTTGCATCTTCTAAGTGTTTCAGAAAGATGGGGGCCATAAGATTTTGGCCTGTAGGGGGCTCTAGCACATCCACTGGTGCTTCTGCTGATCGTGGAGAAACAACGGGAGTTGTTGATTCATCCTCTGTAATTGTCATGATTGGATGATACACAATAAACAATATAACATATAAAGCAGCATGCGACATATGCCCAATATATTTTTGCTAGATATTCAACCTTAAACCACAAAACAAGTGGAAAAATATTTTAGATAAAAATTATGATGCATTTTTCCAACACAAATATCCATGCATATCAATTTATTTACATCCCTATTAATGGAAAAATAAAGCAAACAAACCCTTCTTAAATAACTCTAGCATATTATGTATTCATCTAAGCATGGATTTTCAGCTACTCTTTAAAACAATACAGGATATTTCCTACAGAAATCAATTTCAATCTGTCAACTTTTTATCCATATGGTTGAATACTTTTTTGGCACAAAAGTCTGAAAGTCTGGCTTTCTGTAGGAAATTGAATATTATAGGGAAAAGAGATGGCTTGAGGAGGGAAAAGAATGAAAGAACATGCATTTTCCTTTGAATAATGAGCCTGAACCAGCAACATTCCCTGGAACATCATACATACCATTAACAGTTATAACAGCTTTGGTCTGATCCTTGCCCTCCTCGTTTGACGCAATGCAGACATATTCACCCGTGTCCTCTGGGAAGGCTTCATTAATCTTCAAGATGGCAGTCTCTCCGTCAAACTGCATCTCATGATCTCTTGATGGCTGGATTATTTTACCACTCATTTCCCAGTGTACATCAGGTGTGGGGAAACCTGGAATGAAACAAATGTGATTTAAGAAAAGAGATCCAACCAGATGATCTTCTTTATTAGCAGTGGTGCAGTTCATACTTATAACTGATGACAAGGCAAAATAATAACTAGCTGTTAAGTATTAAATAACAATATTATACCACTTTACACCCCCTACCCGCATTGCACCTTCTCAATGAACACCATGCACATCTTTGTTGAAACATAATTGGTTTACAACCCTTTAATGTGATCCAAACCATGTATGTATTTTTATATATATATCATATTACCCATGAAATCAACTATACCATGCTAACATGGTGATAAGGGTTACATTGGGCAACAAACATATCAAATAAAAAATATATTGCAAATAAAATGTTTTGATTTGAATTTTAGTAGTTAGTAAAACTGAATTATTCAACAAGTAATATTGCCAAAAATCATAAATAATGTAAAATGGGGATTTTGTGCTGTTATACAATTTCTTTTCTGATATGTTCAAAGATTGAGTACACATTTATAAATTTCAGTTTCATGGTGGTGTTTTTGAACATGTCAAGTACTTTTAAATTAACAGCACCAGTTTTTGTCAATTCAATACTGTAACATTGCATCTACAGCATGTCAGAATTACTGATTTAAATATATTAATGTATATATCAATATAAATGTTAAATGTAAATTCTGAAAATACTAACCTGTGACTTTACACTCCAATATCACAGTGTCACCATCTAAAACAGTCATGGACTTCAAATGCTTGGTAAACTCAGGAGGAATGTGTTTGGCTACAAAAAAGATACATTACATTTTTACATTTAACAGTAGCATAAAGGCTGATGCCAAAGAGGGAAGGGGGAGAAATCAATTTCCCCTCACTAATGGTCATATTGAGAATCTCACAATAAGCCACATCATATCTTGTAAACTGTAAATTTACAAAACAATTATATGTAACATATGAGTAACTACAGATGTGAAATTTTTGTTACTGGTGTGCCTTTTCACCAATTCATTTTTCAACAAAATTCAAGACAAAGTCTCTTCATGAATAAAGAAGCAATGATTTCCCAATTAAAAGGGGGGAAAAAACTCACGTTGTACTGTGACTTGTGCAGTGCTCCTACTCTCTCCAGCAGAGTTCTTGGCCACACATTCGTATTTGGCAGTGTCCTCCACTGTGGATTTCTGTATCACCAACTTGGCAACATTTTCATCATAACTCTGTACTAGTTGGTCTGAAGGTCGCAGAAGGCGGTGGTTCTTGTTCCATGACACAGTAGGGGTGGGGTTGCCTGCAGAGAGAGATAATTTTTGTAATGAAGTGAATGAGGAGACTGTGTTTAAAATTTTTTGAAATGAGAAATGTTGGAAGTTGAAATAATGGTTTGAACTGCTGTGATAATTGTAATATACTTGGCTCTGAATCAACACATTCCAGCAAGTATGAGTATATAGCTTTAAACAGCAATCATTAATTAGCTTAAGGAATTAAAAAGGACTTCATAACATTTACCCCCTGTGTAACGTCTTTATCTAATATTTAATTTTTAATCACACACACACACACACACACACACACACACACACACCATTTCATAAAAAGATGAGTAAAAAATGAAATATTTGGTTTTCATCTTTATTCTCATGAAATAACCTATAATGAGAGAGGGGGAGGGGAGTGATATGATGGCAAATAGATGAAGGGAAAAACTGAAGAAAAAGCTTGTTTTTTGTTTAGTTCAAATTCTTTTTTCTCAAAATAAATGTAGCAGAATGCACCATTTTAACAGTAATGATCAGTTGATACATTATTTACAACACACTGTACAAGTATAGCTTCCTGACAATATCTCATTACATTTTTATCGAAGTCTCATCAGCCCTTGCACAATAGATCATCATGAAAACTGCACAATCTACAGATGGATCAAATACAAATTTAAGAAATACATCCAACAGGACATTTCCAAAAGTCAAACACCATCACTAAATGAATCCATCTTTAAGGCATGGGTAGGCAAAACAGGCAATAAAGCACCATACACAAGTAACTGATTACACAGTTTAAGGTCTGTGGCCAAGCTAAAGGAGAAAATGCCCTCAGTGATGTTTCTAAAGAAGTTATAACATCAGATACACAAGCAATGTCAAGGGCCCTATATACAAGAGTCCTATTGAAAAGATTGTCATTCTTTGATGGTTGATGAAATTTTCTCGAGACACAGATAATATGGCATTTATGAACGATATCATTCAAAGCTCAAGTTTACATTAGTGGTTGAACTTATTGGACCTATTATGTTCAGTTGATTAAGTTACAGCAGGTCGACTTATATGTCTGACTGGAATGAAGCAATTAAATGAAAGGGCAGTATTATCACTTTAAATTTCCCCTGATCTATTTCAGTTTTCTATAGCTTGATTTACAATGGCAGTACAAATAGATAGATCAATAAGAGAGAGAGAGAGAGAGAGAGAGAGTCTATACCTGTCACAATGCATTCCAGTGTGATAGTTTCTCCTGCTGTTGTACTCAGGTCTTCAATGTTTTTCTCAAACTCAGGTGCTTGTCTTCTTTTACGTTTTTCTGAAGAAGGTGATCACCATTTCATTTTTATGCATTCTTATTAGGACCATTTTACTCATATAACACTTAATATATAGCAACTGACACAACTGTTAGAAATAAGATACAATGCTGACAACAACACTTCAGTATTGAACTTGGGTAAATTTTGCCCCAGGCACGAAAAATTCACATTGTAATATAACTGGTTTCAACTATTCCATCAGATTCCACTCTTTTAAAAAGAAATTAAACACTGCTGTGTTGTGTGTGTGTGTGTGTGTGTGTGTGTTTGGGTGTGTCAGTGTGTATGTAATACACAGCTAGAAAGGTAAATGTGCTGACAGTTAAAAAAATTTATTTTTCCAACACTGCTTTAGTAAAATTTTATCTCACTATGTGTTGCTTAAAATACACTATTCCAATGATGCTCTATCCTGCTATCCCAACTAAAATAAGGTATGTCATAAGCTCCATAAAATTCTAAATAAAACAGCCTTACAAAAAATGATATAAATGATGTGGCACACACAATACCACAGGAGTCACCCTGGTACTTACCATATACGGAGAGTTCCATGGTGACAGTGTCTGAACCAGCGCAGTTACTAACAGTACAGCTGTAGTCTGCAGCATCCTCCAGAGTTACATCACTGATTTCGAAGTAGTGGAAGCCATGGCGCTCATGAATCTGAAAAAATATGGGCCATTCACTACATGATGTATGAAGATATTTATGTTGTATTTATGATGAACTTTCTAAATATATCAAACTGTCTGACTGATAGGGTTTAATGATACTAGGTATTAATGGTGGACATCAATTGTCATAGTAAAAATACTATCAGTTTTAAAATTGTTGCTATTATCAGTGTTGCAATGAGAGTTCCTATGAACATTTGCATAATTATATGCTAACGCCATTTCAAAAATCCATTAACAGAAATGTGCCCTTGTTATGGCTGCATGATATATTGCCACATCTTTCTGTGATCATGGAGTTATATCACACTACTACCAGAAAGTTCTGTATTCACTTAGTGCATTGCTAGTTTTATGTTTGTTTACAACCTGCAGAGAACAATCCAGTTATAAAATGAAAACCCATTTTGGTATTCATCATACTTAAATAGGACCTTTTTCTTAGACTATATAATGAAACATGTCATATCAGTATGGTAAAATAAATAAATGGATGAATGGATTCAGTAATAGTATACATTTGACCATTAATTCTCTAAAAGATGTACAAGTTAATAGGAAAATAGTCAAGAGCCAAAGTCAAGAGGACTATTTTAAAGCATGTTCACAACAAGGCTAACATAAACTGTATACAGACTAAATAATGATACTAAATGACATGATTGAATAGGGTTCCAGATCCCCTATAAAGAAAACTGGTTGACTGGTGATGTGATTTAGTCATCAGCCAGTCTAAGTCAGTCCAGTTGTGAATTAGCCTTACATAAAAATGCTAATGTCAAAATGGAATTAGGCTTTCAGGTTCAAATCTCTGTGCACTTGTTTTCATCTTTCTGAGGACAAAATCATGCACAAACTATTCCTGAATGATTACAAGCAATAAATGTGAATCTATCCCATACCTTGTACTTGCCACTATCTTGTAGTGCTTGCCCATCTTTTTTCCAAGTCAACTGTGGTGCAGGGCGACCCTCAACTGATGCCTTAAACTTGGCTGTCTGTCCCTCGTCTATGAACTGCTTCCTCGGTTTGATAATGAAATGGGGAGCAATTTCACGGCCTGTTTTCCTTGCTTCTCTTTTCTCTCCTATTGTGTCGGAGGTTTTGACTGCTGGGGAGAAAGAATACAACACTGAGGAGGTATTTCATTTATGACAAGTCATTTAATAACAAACAGAGAGAAAAGTATACTATTATCAACAATAAAAATGCAATTCCAAGCCATGTTGATTTAAGAAATGTTTAGAAATTTCAGTGTCTGAATAAAAAAGTTCAAATGCCACACACGTTTTACATCACAAAACATTCAACAAATAAGTATGGCAATGAATGTGTTGGAAACATACCTTGGTGCTCTAATGCATTATATTTTGAAAAATAAGTAAAATGTGTATTGCACTATACTCATGTCCTCACCTTCAGATGCATCTTCTTCATCTTTCCCTTCTGCACCTAAAAAAATATACATTAATAAATATAAACACTGTTTTACTAGATATCTGTAGGTTTTTTCTTAAGCTTAGATCAACATGCCAATTGTGCTTATTTTTTTTATACCTGAGCATCAAACCCCAGGCAAACAGATTTAAGTTGGTGCCCTTAGGCCTTGTTTCTTAGTGATATGGGTAGCAATGCTGTATGTACAAATATGAAGAAAGCCCATGCAAACAAAATGGGTGATGAACAAAACTGATCAAACAATGTCTCGTAACTTACCACGCCTTCAGCTCACCTTGAATATAAATGTCTCTTTTCTTTGAAAAATCTTAATTAACATTTATCAAGTTGATTAAATGAAAAAAGTTGTATATTTACCTCTGTCTTTAATTGCATGATTCTCCTGCTGGCCTACCCCATTTCTACTCTTACTCTGACCTATGTTAACCCTTGATGTATTACTAACTAATCTGTCTTGCTGCCGCCTTAATCTAGCCTCCCTAAGTCGATCATTTACTGCAGTGGCTGCAGCTGTAGTCTTAGATGCATGTTTGCTACGAATATTTTGCCTTATTTCTGATAACTGTTCCATATCTTGGCCATTGCTGCCAGATTGTTTAGATATGCTATTGTAAGTAACTACAGTATCAGTGCTCACTGATGTAGTGTCAGTAGAGGCCAACACACTGACATTGCTCTCTCTACTGTTACTGCTTACTGATGCTGACAACTGGTCTACATCTTCCCCAGCACAATCAGAATGCATCGTCAGCGTGTCACTTGCATCTATAATATCATCACCCTCTGATTTAGTATCAGTGGAACCCAACACATCAACACTACTGTCCATATTGCTACTGCTAACAGAAAAGTTCAGTTGGGGAGATACAACAGAGTCAAAGTAAACTACAACTTTCCCATCCACAGTATCAATACCACTCCCATCCTGATGGACTAAAGTGATAACATTATCATTCTGGTTGTGACCATTTATTGGGGCAGGTGCTTCTTGAACCGAAGTCACATCTTTAAATGCCTCATCCGATTGATGCAGTGAAGCAGACGACACAATCACCACCAAATCCAAGGGAGATCTCTCTGATATTATGTCATTTCCAATGTCTTCAGTGATGGGTTGACATGCTGTGTCATAGAACATAGTGCTGTCATTGGAAGTATCATTGTCATTGCCCATGGGCCAATGGCTTCCTTCAGTGCCTTGGGATTGCATACCTGTCTGCTGGACTGATTTTAATGTTACTACGGAGGGTGGGATATTTTGGACTGTATCAGTGCATTGTTCCCTATGTGTATATGTGTTACCTTGAGCTATATCATTGTTGAGATGCTCTTTGCTAAACTGTTGCATTGATTCTGATGTTTCTATAGAAGCCTGAACAACTTGACTTGCATCATCACATTGGTCACAGTCCACCTGCTTTCTATCACTGCCCTGATGCTCTGTATTTAACTGCTGCACTGGTTTTGAAGTTTCTAAAGAAGGTGTGTTATTCTGTTTTGTACTAATGAATTGTGCCCAGGGTGCATTACCCAACATTTCAGTGCTACTGTTGGCTGTGATATTTACATTTGCATTACCTGATGGGTCTTTTCCTTGGGGAACAGTAGACCTATGTTCTATGTCAACATCTCTTAAGTGACCAGCAGAAGCTGGGCTTAAGGCATCTAAAGCATCATATTTTTTTAGATCTAAACCTCCAGATTCTAAACCAATGGACCTGACATCAACATTAGGACTTCCCTCTGAGTAATGATTTTCATTCACGCCAACACTATTAAGTTCAGTATTATTTTGTAACTTTTTCAGCTCTCTGGCTATTCTAGCAGCCTTCTCCATGTCTGTCATACTTTCATTAAGGCCAACATCTTGAAGACTTCCTGTGCTCTTCAGGACTTCTTGTCGCAGTGGTTCCAGTTTCATTACACTGGACCTCCTGTACTTTTGTTTCAGCGAAGCTTTACGGCTGTGGGAGGGGGTACTAGAAAGGCTGCTCCCTGGGGATGTAGAGTTACTAGGTGGCTGGTAAAAACTTAGAGAGTCAGAAGTACTGCGGGTATGTTTATGCTGCCTAGGTGAACTGGGATCACTGTTGGGTTCTAATTTTCTCTGAGAGTGTGGCGTGTTAGGGCCACTGCTCCCAGGTTTGCGTTTGTAAGGCAGAGGGGAGTGAGCTGTACTGGGGTTGCGCTGAGAGCGACTTCTGCGTAAGCGTCCTCCATTTTGGCTGCCATTAGCAAACAAGGACTGCATTCCCATGCGAGGGATACTCAGGCTATGGGAGAGCTGCCCCTCATTTCTCTTGTCTTTATCATCTCTCCTGTTATCACCATCATCATAATCATTACTTTCAGATGTATGATGTATGATTTGTACTACAGGGGGTACATCACATTGTGCCAGGGTTGCTTCAGCACAGACTCCTACAGCAATATTGGCCTTAGCGCTATTTGAAGTAACAGAGGTACCCATTGTTGGAACATCTCTAGGACATACATAGGTTATGTGGGCGTGCTTATCTAATACATCTCCCAGGGTTTGTGTTTTGTCATCTTTTAGGGACATAAGGCTAGGTACATGGGATGTTTTTTGTAAACAATCAGTTGAATTTTCCCTAGTACTATAAACATTTGTTGCAACACCTCTGGCTGTGTCTCTGGATACAGTGGCCTTGTCACTTGGAGCTGTATTTTTGTTTATTTTCTTTGTATCAGTGACAGTTGGGCTTATTTGGGGAGGGATATCTAAATATAGATGTCCCCTGGTGTGGTTTGGTGTCAGTGATTTTGGCAACAGTTCCTGTGTCACTTCTTTAGTTCTATGTTTAGAGTCCTTGTCTTTTTCACTACTTGTGGTTGTCACTACAGTGATGTTATTCAGTCCAGAGGATGTCTGGTTCTCTTGAATCTGAGTTAACTGGACCTTTCCACTAGACAAAATTTTGTGGTTAGAAAGCAAAACACTACTGTCACTGTCAACCTTCCTCTTTTCATCAGATTCTTTTCTGCTTGAAAACACTGCCTCTGAATGCCTTCTGGCTAATTTCTTACTTCTAATTTTGTTTTCCTCTGGTAGACTTAATTCTGTCCCACTTTCTGAGAAACATCTTGGTCTTTCTCTCATTTTACTGTTTTGTTTCTTCTGAGATCTGTAAGCAGGCAGCCACCTTGCCCGAGAAGCAATGTTTATTGCTGTATATTCACTGCCATCTGCATCAGTTGTCTTATCAATGACTTTTCTTGTTTTAATTGGCAGGCTAGAGTGCCCAGGGTGGCTCTTGCTGCCAGACTCACTCACAGACCTAATCCTGAACTCGTATTCAGTGTCTGGAGTTAAATCCACAATGTCATACTGTGTTCCCTGACAATGATTTGTGGAATTTTTCCATTTTTTACTCCCTATTTTCCGAACCTGTACAACGTATGCTATGACTGGTGGCGAGCCCAACCAAGATGGTGCCAAGCGCCACTTAATGGTGACAGAGTTGTGAGTGACTTGGACCACCTCAGGGCTTGTCTGTGGGGGTAGCAGTGCCATCTGCTCACCCACTGGGTAATCACCATTCCCCTCAGCCTTTGAGCTTACACTTCCCATGTTCCGCCTGGAATAGTCCTGCAGGTTGAATAGTTTTTTATAGCTGATGACCAAAATATGCTGGTCACAAACTGGACTGAACAATGGCTTGGAGCTATACTGAAGTACACTTTGCAAAGTACAAGACCTGTAGATACTCATAATCCCTCTCTACACAAATCACAGTAAAGAAGAAAGACAAACTGAAAATGTTGGATAACAACAGTTAAGGCGAACCTTTGTTTGCAAATTGACTTGAGAAATGAATGTACATAAAAGTTGTCTTAATGTATGATGTTTGCTGGCGAGTTGAAGTTGGGACTCCATGATTACAACACAGACTTGATCAAAATCAAACCATCCTATATTTACTTGACCAAACGGTATCCTATTTTGTTAAATATCATATAACATATTTATATTCAATCATACATTGGTTTATTATGTACTATCATTTTACTTTGTGAATATTATGTAACTTTTATGTGCAAATCCATGGTTGCATTTGTCCTAGTTCCTGTTTTGGAGACAATATTTGGCATATTATATATTAGGTACAAACTTTGAGGTTTACATACTTCTTTAATGGCAGTAGTTGGGACATCAAATAAACTTAATTTGGTAGAAATAAGCCTATTTCTTTAACATCATCACATCTCGGAGTTGTTGCACATCAGTGGCATTACCTGAACATATTGCAAAATACATTTTATATCTTTTTCTTGTAAGTTATTTCCTTTTTTATTTCAGTTCGAGTGATCTAATTCAATAAGAACCCATCTTATCTTTCAAAAATTTTAATTGATTCTTAGTGGACACCATTTATGTAACATGGTTTAAGGTAATATAATTTTTAAATATATTTAGATTGAGTGGTTACTTACCAAATATACCCCATGAGTGAAAATTGTAACAGGACTGTTCACCATTCAGGATATGAGTACTTTATTAGACATGAATTTAATTTGACATCTTATTTCTGAAATAAGATGTCACATTAAAAAATTTGTTTTAATATTGGACTAATTGTGTGGCATGACTTCTAATCAAAGGTGAGCACAAGTTTTGCATGTAAAAAGTAATTTTTATCCTCTGTGAAATAAACATCCCTTCTGTGACATTTCATGACATGTCACAAAACACAATGGCAGTAGATTGATGTTGCACTATAAGTGCCCTAACCTCAATATTTCCCTCACTATTTCCGTCTCATAGGAATTTGCCTTTTTTAAAACCCAGGCTGCCTACAGGTATGCAATTTATATCAAATCACCTGTAGGAATTTACAAGTGTAGCTTATTCATAGCAGGTGTGACACACATTACAGCAATTTTCTAATGAACAGTTACTCCCTATATAGAATAAATATTTCTTTTTGAAATTACCACCAGTTTTACATAATAATAAGAGAGTTCAACCATAA